CAGAGAAGGGTGTGGGAGGTTGTTTACATAGGCCTGATAAAAGTAATCCAGCAGATGCTTTCTCTGCAGGGTTCTTTGTTGTCCTATGCCTTTCTTCTCCAACACCTCCACTCATCCTCCTCTTTCTTCAGAGCAGTCTTTATGTTTAGCAACCAGAGTCTGCAGAAAGGGTGAAATCAACTTACCTTCACTACCGGTTCGCAAATGTGAGCGTACACACCACCTCCACACATGCGCCGGACCTTCCGCGTATGCACACAATGTCAAAACGGGACATGATGACCTCCGGGTGGGTGGGTGGAGCCACCCGCCGCCACCGCTTCGCCCGAACCGGATAGAACCGGCTGAATTGCAGCACTGGTCTGCAGGTACTCATAATCTGGAGCAGTGTTTATCAACCATAAGCACTTTAAGATGTGCAGAATTCTGGGAGTTGGTCTATTCATCTTGACCAAGGTTGAGAAACTCTGATCTAGAACCATGGTTTACTCACAAGGAGGCAGGTGTTTTCCACACATCACATTAAGACAGGGCTGTCAAACTTGCGATGACATCTTGTCATGTGATGTATCACAACTTCCTCCCTTTGCTAAAATGGGGGTGGGCGTGGCCAGCACGTGATGCATCCACCCTGTGGTCCACGAGTTTGACACCCTGCATTAGGACTATAAATCCGGGATGGCGAACCTATGGTTCATGTGCCACAGGCTTTATAGGAGCCTGGGGAGGGCGAAAAAAACATGCAATGGGGGAAGCGCCTCTCATGCGGGCATGTGTACTGGGATGTTGCACGACTCCCATGCGCTCCTCCCCTTATGGCATGCGAGCCAAAAAGGTTTTGCCATCGCTGCTATAAATAATAGGTTTTCATTTTTCATTAAGACTACTTATTCATTGTTTACAATATTTATATTTATAAAATTTATAGCCTAGGCTCGTGATGGTGAACCTATGACACATGTGCCAGAGGTGGAAAGCAGAGCCCTCTCTGTGGGAACACGTGCCATTGCCAGCTGCTCTTCTAGTTTCTGGTGTGCACATGTGTACCAGCCAGCTGGTCTTCACAGGCGCCGAACCCCGGAAAACAGTCTGAAAAATGGCCAAAAAACAGACCATTTTTGGACCTTTCTCTGGGCTGTTTTCAAGCCATTTTGGGGGGCATTTCCAGGGTTTGGGGGGGGGCATTTCAGGCCTTTATAGGGTCATTTTAGGAGTTTTTTGAGCCATTTTCAGGCCGTTTGGGGGGCATTTTCATGCCCAAACAACATCACGAAAACAGCCCAAAAACGGCTTGCAAGTGGCCTAAAAACACCCCAAAAATGGCCTGAAAAACAGCAAAAAACCAGCCATGCGCACACAGGCCAGCTGCTCTTCAGGTTTCTGCTTGCCATTTCTGCACAAATTAAGCAAAATCTTTCAGCATCTTATATAGAAAAGACTGTACGTATATGTTATACTTGCCTTTGTGTCATGATTATTTCATTCCTCAATGCTTATTTCTTTAGTCCCCAGAAATGAAAATACTTGTTTTTCTCTTGTCACCCCAGAAAGTTCAAGCTATATATCGCAGTAAGATAATGCTCCAAAAATAAGTGAAATCCCCCCAAAATTCATTCTCTTCCTATCTGAACCTCAGCAGGCAAATTGGAGATTAACACCTGAAAATGTAGTAAGTACTGCATTTTATAATATCTATAAGTAACTTAATTTTCTCATTAACTCTTGACATACTCACTGAAGGATATTGGCAAGAGAAAAAAATGAACTGTAATATTCCATACTGTATGCTGCTGAGGTTTCTCACGCACAGAAATCAATATCAAAACTCATAGATTAGCCCATGAGAGCAATTTGAGGGTTTGGAATTTTCCTATTTCAAAAATGAAATCTTAAAAGCCCAAGGGAAGTTATTGCATTTCACAGATAAGAGATCGGACATCTTAATCCTCCAGGAGAACTTTTATCCCATGCAAGCTGCTACCACAGCTGCCTGTGTAAAAGCTAGATGTCTCTACGGATGAACATGATATGTAGCAGAGCAGATGTTCATGGACAAGATGTTATTTAAACAGTAGCCATCAGAGGGAAAGGAAATAGCCCATTTTGGAAGGGTTGGCAAAAGAAGGGTAATATTTGTTCTTTTCACTGAACAATTACCCAGCTAGTGAGGGTGGTTTGGAAAGCAACTACAGTTTACTTCCCTAGGCTTGTCAAAAGGACAACTGTTCTATTGAAAAAAGGAGGAAAAGGAGGACCAGGGTCTAATTAAAATCCAGACATAGCCCAAAGCATCTTCCTATCTCACACAAAGCCATGGTTTGACCTCCCCATCAACATATATGAACTGATCACATGGCAACTGAGTCTTCCTACGAATCTGGCAACAGAGCAAAGGTTTGAAATATAAAGGTACTTTGGAGATGCAGGGCAACTGTCACCCATAAGTTCATTCATTAACTTCTCATTGTCCTGCAACATCAATAATTGCAGCAATTACCTTACTCCGCCTTATGTTTGCCTGCCATCTGATAATATTTCTGGGTACAGTTTCTATGAAATAAAATGCACAAGTGGCAAAGGGAAATATTGCACCATATACATCAAATTCTTTAATGATTTTTTTTTCCTGGAACGCTCCATATATCTCCCTGTTCATGATCTCCCTGTTCATGATCTAGCCAAAAATATTTCTCAAGGGATTAGTATTAATTCTAATGTTGTATGTAAAGGATGTCTCCGGCTCCATACGTGTTAAATTACTGTCCAAAAGCTTTGCAACCACGGGGAAATGTTTTCCCTATCAGGAAAACATAATATTTTTATAGTCTGACAATTAAAGGCCATGTACCACAGAATATCAGGTCTGTAGATTAAAATAAGTACATTCCTGAGGCTAACATTCCAAATGCCCTAAAGAACATCTATCTCTGTATCCAGACAAAACACTGTTCAACTGCAGATGGAATGATTATATTAAAAATAAAAATAAAATTACTCAAAGAACATCTAGCTCAGGAGACATCAGCTTATTTTATTGGTGTGAGTTAAGGCTTCCTATGTTTTATCATGTTTTCGAGTTTTAAAATATTACTCTCCAAAATCTAGCAGATTAGTATGTTAAGGATGAACTATGGCTACTACACATGAAGACACAACTAATTAAAAAGTGAGAGCTTCCATGTCCCATTCACCAATTACTGAGGTTATTTTTCAAATTTAACCTCGTTTTGCTACTAATTCTAAAATTCCTCAAACTGTTTACAACATTCTTTGCCCAAAACACCACAAATCTCCAACAGCACCTAACTTTTCACACTGTGTAGCTGAATAACAGTTACGAGATTATCAAATAAAAGTCAAACCATTTCAATATAATAAATATTTAATAAAGTATTTCATAGAAGAAATGACAAAACAAAAAGTATATCAGATTACAGATGCACACATAAATGAATTTTAAACAGAAAAAAGGGAATGGAGAGCCTTTTATTAAAACAAAAGTATTTATGTGCACCTCAAAATTAACAATCTGCCAATTTGTTGAAAATGTTTTGGCTTCTCTTCGCTACCCTTCTGAAAAATACTTCACTGAAGCAAGATACTGTCACAGAGCTTATGAAGAACTGCAATCTGCTCCACTGATTGTACAGATAACCTATCCATGCAATATATACTGTATGATTTAGACGGCTTGACCTTTGTTCCATCTCCCTATGTTAGCTTGGTTCAATCAGTCTTTTGAGCTTACCTCCCAAAGTGCCTTGAAATCTTTCTGCTCAATGCGCAGGAGTTCACTGTTTTCTCTTGTAACAATGGTAGCATGACGAGGGGTGTTATCCAAGACCGACTCTCCAAACGCTGTCCCTATTCCCAAGGTGCATATTGTCACAGCATCCTGTGAAGCAGAGTTAAAGAGACAGGCACTCAGCCTTTGGATGTCAAAGGATGTAGGAACCACTGTCTTGCCAAAGACATACTATCTTCAGTTGGAAACAATGCTTAGGAAATGACAAGTCATTTCCTACAAATAGTGCATTTGTCCTTTAGGAAAGTCTTGTCCTAGTTCAAACTAATGTGTCTGTTCTGAATGTTTAGTCTACATCAACTAATAATTTAAAAAGTGGCATCTGTTCTCTAAAGAGTGGCTTTCTATTATCAAAGTCTAGTGCTCACATTACATAGTGTTACTGTATTTCTACTGTAACAAATCTGAACATCTACTACACTGCAGCAAATAGAGAAAAGTCTCTTTGCTACCATCTAGTGGTTAACTGACGTTTTGCTAGAGAAGTTCAGGCAAGTTTATTTTAGGTTGATGGGCAAATTGAAAATTCCAATACACAAATACTTCTTCCCATTGGTAGGAGTTCAAATCCTTCAATCCTGAGATTTGATTCAGGATTCAGAATCAACCATTTGGAAGGTTAGCCTTCCATCCTTCCAAAGTCAATAAAAGTAAGAGTCCAGATTGTTGAGGGCAATATGCAGCCTCTGTAAACTGCTTAGAGTGGGCTGTAAAGCACTATCAAATGGTGTATAAGTCTAAGTACTATTGTTATTAAGTGGTCTTACCACTGTAGTTACTTCAGACTGCAGAAAGCCAATCCACTGTATTTGGAAACTTCCCTAAATGTTGTACTGCATTATACCTCCACAACTTTTTCAACATCCTGCTTTACTGCAATTACTTGTTTATTTAATTTCTGGACAAAATCAGTGTATGTATGTATGCATGTAATGTTTGCTTGCTTGCTTGTTTGTTTGGAAGGATGATACTAAAAAAAATATATTAATAAATGAACAATGGGACCAAGAATTAGGCATCTTGTTTAGTCTTAGTAGTTACCAATATACAAGGCATTACATTCAAAATGTTCTTTTTGTTCTTATTGTAATATTATTTGTATGTTACAGGTCCTCACGTAATTATTTCATCTTTGATACATAATTTTTCTCTCATTCTATTAATAGTACTTTGATGACTCGTTATCTTTAACATTTTAGAAACATAGAAAACAGCCTAATACCAATCTACTATCTTCCCAGCATAATATCCCCAATATTGAAAGACTATTGATTCTACCCTTTTTTAAAACAGAAGCCCTGTCTACTGATGCCAATATTTTTTGTTCAGAAAACCCTGTGCTCTATCCATTGAGCAAAGAATGCAGTTCATAACAAACCATACTGAGTTTAAAATAACACATGTGTCATAATGTCATCATGCAAATGTCACAATTGTGTAACGATGGTATGACATTTGACACTTCTACATACACTGTATTACTTAAATGATGGTTTCATGAGGTATTTATTGTCACCTGCCACTCCCACTTGAATGGATATGAGGGAGCAACGGCCCTTTGCCATCGTGAGAAATAGAACATTTGTAAAAAAAACAAGAGATATACAGGACATGATTATCACAGGAAAGATCGCAATGAACACATAGACAGTGGTGAAGCTGGCATTACAATGTAATAATCTCTTAAATATTCAGGCTTGTTCAATGCATAAACCATAATTCGCTTCACTTCTTTTGTCTGAAGAGATGAATTCATAAGATGGAAATAAAAATAATTAATTGCAGAGGATTCATTCTGAAAGGGAGATTTTCAATTCCCGTTGACTTGAATTCAATAGCTGGCTTCACTTACTACACTAAGCCATGGTTTACTCAAGTGCAATGGGTTGACTAACCACAGGACTTCCATTTTCACAAAAACACTAAACCATATACTTTTGGTCATAGCACAATATGGAAAGTGGGGCAATTAAGAGAGGTGATACTGCTACTTTTTGTTCTATTTTCCCTTTCCGTGAAAAATCAAACCTCTCTATAATCCTTTTTCAAGAAAGAAGTAAGAAAGACCTTGTTCAGAAAGTAAGCAAATTGGGTAACTTGAACATTTCTTATGCCCTAGAAGTATGATTAATCTAATTAAGTTTAGAAAACATAATTCCGAAAGGTTAATATAACTGGAGACGGAACAAAAAGGAAACGAAGTTCATATACACAACTGTAGATTTAGGGTGACTTAAAAAAACGAATAAAACATGAGGAACTTTTTTCTGGAAAGTCAGCAAGCTCTTTTGATAGCTTAGAGGCCAAAGGCACTATCTTTTTTGGTGCCCATTTGTTTAATGGCACAAGCCAATTAAATGGTTTAACACAACTCTCAAAGAACTCCTGCTGTTCTCATGATCAGACCCTGAAAACATGATAAAACTGAGGTGTTATCTCTGGAAACTGAGAACTAGCAGATATCCCACTGCTGGCTGACAGCTGATGGGTTAGCCACTGAGTTTTCTACAGAAAAGGTGAGTCAGAAACTTAAATCATCTGGTTCATTTCTGACATAAAAGTTCAATTAATATATTGGTAAAATGTACATATGGAGGACTGTGATGCTATCTACTCCATTATCCACTTCCAAAGTGCCACAGCCCCATTGGGGCTCCAGACTAGTTGGCACAACCATGTCTTCAAGGTCTTTCAGAAGGCCCAAAGGATGGGAGCAGATCGGACCTGGAAGGGCAAAATGTTCATCAGAAATTAATGTTGTAAGTCAAATTCTTCAGTCATCTATAACAAGTAAAGGTTCCCCTCGCACATATGTGCTAGTCGTTCCTGACTCTAGGGGCGGTGCTCATCTTCGTTTCAAAACCAAAGAGTCAGCGCTGTCCGAAGACGTCCCCGTGGTCATGTGGCCTGCATGACTAAACGCTGAAGGAGCATGGAATGCTGTTACCTTCCCACCAAAGGTGGTTCCTATTTTTCTACTTGCATTTTTACATGCTTTCAAACCGCTAGGTTGGCAGAATCTGGGACAAGTAACGGGAGCTCACTCTGTTACACGGCGCTAGGGATTCAAAAAGCTGAACTGCTAACCTTCTGATCGACAAGTTCAGCATCTTAGCCACTGAGCCACGGCGTCCCAATGAAAAGTAAAACTGGTTTAAAATGTCAGTGTTCATGGAGAAACCTGAGTATTAAATAAGCAGTGGGAATTCTCTCACATCTTGAGGTTCTTCACTGAAGCTAACTACAGAGCATGCTTCTTTATATAACACATACCTAAACTAATAACATTAGTAATGGCTACTGATCGAGATGATTTTAAAAGAGAACTAGACAAATACATGGAACATTAGAATATTAATAGTTAACAGATTTGACAGATAATTTCTATCTTCCAGCAACACCTAAAATACCATCTTGTGGGAGGACTGATGGAGGAGGCTGTCATCCTCATATCATGGTTTAAATTTCTTAGATCTATTGCCAAACTTAATAGTTCTGATCCAAAATAATTCTTCTGGATTTTCTCCCAAGCAAATTCTTGGTTGCAGCAGGAAAATTAGGCTATTTATATTCCTACATATCATTTTCCATTGCCCATGATATTTGTTCGAGTCATCAAAATTAGCACAACCATTATATTATACCAAATATCATCTTATAGCACATTCTAATGTGTTATGAGTTAATTAATAATTAATAAAAGAGAATCTGTTTGGTATAGTTAAAGAATCAGGATAGAAACCCAGCTTAGGACAAAGCCAACTGGGTGACTTGGACCAATCCTTCTATCTCAACCTTAGGAAGAAAACAAGGGCAAACCCCTACTGAAATATTCTCAAGAAAACATTTGTCCAGAAGTCTGATTCAAAGTGAAGAGGATGAGGATGATGCTACTTGGAACATCATACATCTTACAAAGGTTCTCGGTTGATACCTAGGACATTGGCAGCAACCATATCAACCATTAGCACCAGTCAATGGTATTTGTGATGCATTTTGGAATGTTCAGTTGACTGAGTTTCATGTTTAATGAATAAAGTTTAATAATGATGATGGTGGTGGTGGTGGTGGTCTATGAAATTGTATTATATCTGCACCTATTTGTGATTGGTCTTGCACTCTAAATAAATTTTGAGTTGAGCTGAATTGAGTATGTGCCTATTTCCAGTTTAGACAACTCAGGTTAAATTAAACGTAGGTGCCTTTAAACCTATAAGAATTTGAAGTTTCCAATTTTACAGAAAACTTTTTTAAAGAAAGAGTTGACAGTTGCTCTGGGCTTTGCATAGCATGCCAAAATACCTTCAGAAGTGGGATGGTATTTTGCTGGCATTTATTTTTAATTCTTTTCTATTTTACTGTATTTGTATGTTTTCTTTTATTATATTTTATTATTTCATATCTATGTATTTATTTTTCCTTATTTTATTACATTTTGTTTCATTTCATTTTCTTGTGGGAATTTGGTTCCCACAGGAATCTATCCCTATGCCTCAAAAGTGATAGGTCTCATTAGGCACCTATGTTGAAATGAGCTGAGATTCGTGAACCTTGTTTGTTAATAAAATTTGCTTGTCGAAAAAGGTGACAGAAGACTTCCACTTTTTTTGCTACCACAGAGTAATACAGCTCTCCTCCTACAATGGTTGCCTAAGTAAAAGGTGCAATATTGCTAAGAATTATTTCCTCAGTACTGGAGAGCCCTCTACTGATTGATAAAACTCTGCAGTCTATTATGTTTTTTCAGACTCAAAATCAAACACAAGAGGGAATTTCAGCAATGCAACTGAGCTTGGGGAGTTCATTAGAGGGAGGAGGGATAAAGGGGAAAATATATATTTTTACGCTTTAAAATACAAAAAAAAAAAAGCCAATGCAAATTCATCTTTTTGTCCAGGACTGAATTGGTTTTTGTTTTTTTAATTTAGTCTATGCTTTAAATCTCTGTAAAGTTCAGGAAACATTTCTGCAATTTAATCCTCCTTAATCCACTAAGATAAAAAAAAAGTCCCAAAATGGTAGTCCTGCTCAATTTACTGGGCTCTGGTGGTTACAATATTATGAGCTGCACTTTACATACACCTGGTCTATTATCACTATGCATTCAATAACAGCTTCTAGCATTATCCCAAGAAAGTATTGCACACCTATTCTATATTTGGCTGGTATGGAATATACAAGTCTAAAAGTAACCAATTTTCTTTTTCTATCATCAGCTAACAATCCTACTTTATGAATTGTCCAATGACATCAGTATACTCTGTTGGTCTTGCCAATATGTTCAAATATTGACAGACAGAAATTAACCCTGACGAACTTTCACAGAAACTACTTGGGTTAAAAAATAAGCTGAAAGAAAACCAGTCTTCCCTAACTTGGCATCAAAATTTTCAAAATATCCTCTTTCAAGACACTTCCTATCTGTTGGCATTAATATCTATATAAATCAGTAAGTCCTAAAGTCATTAAAGCAACAGTCATACGACTGGCCAGATGTTCTTTGCTGGACTTCAAGGATCAGCTTTGAGTTGGAAGAGGGTGATTCTTTTTCCATGCCAACCTCTAGAGCCAATTCAAAGAGGACAGGAATGGGATGAAGCAGGATGAATGAGAAAAGGGATCTATCACATCCTTAAAACCAAATAAGGATGACTTATTTGATATGGCCAAAATAGAATGGCTGTTTAAAAACAAAAAGTTAAAGATGGGCTTTTGGGAGACTTGGTGGTCAGAAGATTCCAGAAATCCAAAATATGTACATGTAGTTGGTTTTTTTAAAAAAAGGAGAAAAACATACTTTAAACACATATGAAAAATATGTGATACAGGCACCATGAGACTCTAAATATAATGCCTTCTAACCACATCGCACTCATGTTAGAAGCAGCGAAGCGCTTCCAGGTTGAAAGGATTAGCCAGTGAAATCACTGTTGCCTAGGGGATAACCAGTTGGAGACTCCCTTCGTGTGTCCCCCGCAAGAGCTGCAATGAAGAATGGGAGCACCCTTTGCCCCACGACAGCATTCAGGTCTTAAACACGGGCTTGCTAACCTCCAACCCAGTGACCTAACCACATGAGCCATCATGCTCCTTATGCTTTCTAATATACCTTATTTATATGTATTTTACTGTAACAGCCTACAAAAATATATACACCATTATGACGATGACATCTTACAGGCTATCAAGAGTTTCATCCGTTCGGAAAATATTTCAGCTTATTAAATGAATTACATCACAGTCTTGAATATCTGGCTTATCCTCATTCATTCATTACCTTATTTTCTACGTCTCCAAGTGAAAGATACCTTTAAAGCATATATGGTAGATGAAATTTTTTTACAAAAGGGAAATAAAGAACTGAATGTTGGCTCTCTCTATTTCCAAAAGGTTGAATTAGGGCAAAAACATTTCTCACTTTTTAAATAGAAGACAAGTCTTGGGGGGGGAGATTGAAGTAATTGCTTCAAAAAAGGACAATAAGAAAACAGACAAAACAACACGTCTTTCTGGAATTGCTACAGGTATTTCTTCATCCTAAAAAAATACAAAAAGTATGTGTTTGAATTTTTAAGATTCAAACTGCAGTTCATAGAGAAGGAGCATGAAAAATATATCCAGAGGTATTTTTTGTTCTACTGTGTATGAATTGATGCAGTAATGGAATGGAACAGATTTACCCATTAACACCATCAGAAGATATATGATTGCAAATAAATTGTTCTCTCCATACTATCTTCTCTCTGCCAAGTAGAAAGAGGCAACTAAGAAGTAACATGAAAGATCTATCTTTAAAACACACACACACACACACACACGCACGCACGCACGCACGCAGACAGACACACAAAAGGCCCAACTTTTGAGAAAAGTCCCTTTATTGATTGAAAGTCTTTCTCCCAAAAACAATGCTTGGGTCGTTTTCTTCAAGGCTACTTAAAAATTAAAAATGAATTCCCAGGATTGTCACTATGGATGTAGCTGTGTTCTGCTTCTATTTATTTTATTTTTCCCTGGTGAGCAAATGCAGGATCCATCACTGCCCCCTGAGAAAGGCATATCCCATTCTGCGAACTTTAAATCTTGGCTGCCTTCTAGCTGTCATCCATATTTTATGTTATGTTACCGGTAATATAAATCATGGAAAAAATCAAAAATGCTGTAAAATAGTCTTTTCCTGATTTCTTATTTCTTCTTTTGCTTTTAAAATTGCTGAAACAAAGGCCATTGAAGTCAGACACTAGAGTTAGGTTCTCACATATAGACAAACTATTCTCATTGTAGCACCTGTAAATTAGTAACTAAAAACCGTGAATTACCATATTCAACTGCATTAGTTACTCTTAAAGTCACAGTCATTCCAAGAATCTGGGTTTCTATTTCTGCACTTTTGTCGAGTAGCCAAATCAACACGCCAATGAAGGGAAAAAATGATATTATTTAATACTGCAAGGGCTCTTAAGTCTGCTTAGTTTAATGTAGGAAAGAAAGAAAAAAAACTTTATTCATTCTAACACTGCCCTCTTGTGGTATAGAATTCTGCAGATATTAACACAATCCAGCATAAAAGAAGCAAATTAATTTAATTTTCCCATGTTTATTATTCATAAGAAATACAAGTGTCAGTAATACCTGGATTGACCAGTTACTTCAACAGTTGCTGCTTCTATACAAATAAATCAAATAACTTTGAAGAGACAACAAAATGAAACCTGGGTTTTCACATTTTAAATTTGAATAGCTTTATCTCTTTTATTGTTTGATTGTTTGTTTTGCTTTGCAATATTAACGAAGACCAGATTTTGTAGAATTATAAAAAAATAGATTTATTTTATAGGAAGAGGCCTTAATTGAATGGAATGGAATATAATTGAATTGACTTGAACTGATTTAAAAATAAAGATAAAGGTTCCCCTCACACATATGTGCTAGTCGTTCCCAACTCTAGGGGGCGGTGCTCATCTCTGTTTCAAAGCTGAAGAGCCAGTGCTGTCCAAAGATGTCACCATGGTCATGTGGCTGGCATGACTAAACACCGCTGTTACCTTCCCACCAAAGGTGGTTCCTATTTTTCTACTTGCATTTTTACATGCTTTCGAACTGCTAGGTTGGCAGAAGCTGGGACAAGTAACGGGAGCTCATTCCGTTACGCAGTGCTAGGGACTTGAACCACCGAACTTCTGACCTTTTCGATCAACAAGCTCAGCATCTTAGCCAATGAGGCACCGCATCCCACCACATCCCTTGTTTCCCTATGATGTACTATATTGCCAAATTAAAGGTTATAGGAACAAAATGTTTAGTAGTCTATAGGTAGGCAATATTTTCCTGAGAAAATTGTACTGCATTAGAAATGCAATTTTACCTGATGGTTGCTCGTATCAGAAACTTTAACATCCAAGGATCCTGTCAACACAGCATACCAATTTGTTCCAATATCACCTTGACGAAATACTGCCAAAAGAGAGAGGGAGATAATCAAATTCAAGGATACATTATATTTATGGTAACTATAAGGTTAATATAACTTAATTATAATAACTTTTGATTAAATAAGGATATTTGTATCAGCGATGATTATATCGCCAATGAGAATTTTTGACACCTGCAGTTTTCAGTAGAATTCTTCAGACTGAACTATAATTCCAAATATTCTTTGGAATTTGCTAATTACCTCGGTAAAATGGGTTGGTTTATTTTTGTGCATCTCTCCCTTCCATATTCAATGAGCAACATGATGATATCATGGGTTTCAAAATGTCATCATTTTGTAAACCATGTAAATTATGATAACTTCAGGTAGTCCTGAGGCCAAAATTTCCATTGCTAAACAACACCGTAGTTAAATTAGTTTTGCCCCCTTTTACAACTTTTTTTTGTCACAGCCATTAACTGAATCATGCAGTCGTTAAACGAATCGGGCTTCCCCCATTGACTTTGCTTGTCAGAAGCCAGCAGGGAAGGTTACAAATGGTGATCACATGACCCTGGGATATTCCAACTGTCGTAAATACATAATGGCTGCCAAACAACCAAATTCTGATCACGTGACCATGGGGGTGCTACAATGGTCATAAGTGTGAAAACTGGTCATAAGTCACATTTTTCAGTGCCATTATAACTTTAACAATCACTAAATGAATGGTTGTACAGCGAGGACGACTTGTACAATGAAATTATGAAATATGTGGTAGTTACACGAAGGATATAAAATAAATAATTCCACCGTTTGTGCAATGACATCATGACATATTTGACATCACTGCCCATGGATCTGCCTTTACTGCTTTCTACTCACATCATATCATAACGAATTCCCTCATCTCGACACTCTTAAATTAAAACACTATTATATTGCAAAATGTTTAATATAAAGAACTCCTCAGAAATGCTCCTTAGGTCTACGTCACACATAATCAAAGTATTGAAAATCAGGATTAATGGTGGGATTCAAATTTTTTTACTACCTGTTCTGTGGGTGTGGCTTGGTGGGCATGGCGTGGCTTGGTGGCCATGGCAGGGGAAGGGTTCTGTAAAATCCCCATTTCCTCCTAATCAGCTAGGACTCAGGAGGCAGAGAATAGATGGGCACGGGGCCAGTCAGAGATGGTATTTACAGGATCTCCTCCGAACTACTCAAAATTTCCGCTACTGGGTCTCCAAAACTGGTCAGGACTTGCTGAATACCACTTTTGGTCAGGACATGTGACGTAGGTTCCACCACAAAACCGCGTTCAACTAAAGGGCGCTTGACGAAACCGCGTAGCTGACCTCATCACAGGGCGACAACAGCGCGGAGACAGAAGCACACTGTAAACGCTAACCCTAAACCTAACCCTTAACCTAACCCTAAAGCTAACCCTAATCCTAATCCTAACCCTTAACCTAA